CCTCCTCCCTCGGCCAACCGCAGCATGTTCGCCGCCTTCGCATCCCCCCTGCCCCTCGGGCGCTCCTCCGTCGTGCGCGATGCGCGTACCGCACGTCCCCCGCGCCGTGTGCGCCGCGCACTGGCGCCGCCGCGCGCGGAGAACCGCGCCCACCCGCATGTCAACCTGGTGCAGCCGCCGCAGACGACCCCGCCGACAACCCCGCCGACACCACCATCCCCTTCCAGCTCTGCCTCCGCCCTGCCTCCGCCCTCACTCACACCCACCTCCTCCTCGCCGCCCCCGCCACCACCACCACCACCATCCAATGACCAGGCGCGCGCCCTCGCCATCGCGCTCGCGCTGTCGGCAACGTCCTTCGGCCTGGCCACCTACCTGGGACATGATGCGCCAGCTAAGTTCCCCGCCTCGCTGGACATGCCGCTCTCCACCTCGATCTATAATGCCGTCACCGCCTTTGTAGCCGGCCCGCATTTTGCCGTCTCCCTCGGCATGGGTATCTCTGCTTTCATCCAGGCTCTCACAGGCTTCGGCTTCGCCATCGTCAGCGTCGCCGCGCTCACCCAAGTGCCCTGGATCGCCCATTCCAGCGTGTTCAACGCCGTCCAGCCCGTCGCCGCTACGCTAGGCGCCCTCACGGGATGGATTCTCATCCTGCCGGAGTTCAAGCGCGTCGACTGGAAGGCTGTCTCCGTCTTGCTTGCCGCGAGTACCATGACCACGCCAGTAGGGGCGGTCATGCTCGAATATTTCAACCCGGAGGTTGTTATCAGGGGTTTGGGCGCCCTTATTTCAGGGTTCGTGCTTTACTCCGCACTAGGCGTGCCCGTGCCAAAGAAGCTGGGCAGCGTCCCTGGCGCGTGGGGGCTCGGCTTTTTGGCGGGCGCGCTCGGGGGAGCCTTTGATATCACGGGGCCGCCTTTGGTCGTGCATGGCGAGGCCGCGGGGTGGGAAACATCGAACGGCGACTTCAGGAGGAATGTGCTCGCCGTCGTCACCATTAATAGCTCCTTGGTCGTGTTATGGGACTTCTTCGCCGGCCGTTTGAACGACTACTACTATATGGACTTTGTGAGATGGGCCGCGCCTACGACGCTAGTGGGAATTGCGTTAGGGAAATTGTTGGCCGATCGCCTGGACCCCAGCGCGTTTAAGAAGATCGTGTTGGGCACTTGTATGGTCATGGGCGTCAAATTGTTGTTCACGTAAGCGTGGGACAAGGCTTGGCGTGCTCGTAGGTGAGCCAGTTTTGACAGAGGTCGTGGTGCAATGTCGTTGCGAGAGGCGACGTTTTGGGTGGATTTGTGATAACCTTCTTTTGCGCGTATCTACTTTGGTACATCGTGACCTCCCGTTAGGGGGGTTGAACCTGGTTTACCCCGACCGCAGCGTCGAGACCGTGAGTCTCGTCAAGATGTTTCCGTTTGCCACAACTTCACCAACTGTCTGCCCTGAGCAGCACACGGCACGCCTCACTTGAGATCATTCGCAGCATCGAATGATACATATCTCATATGATCTTTGTCGCAGAATCCTCAAATAATCTCAATCTCCTGTAGACCAGGGTAATGGGAATGCATGGCTGTAGACGCAGAATGCGGAGCCATGCGACGCCCGTCAATCAAGCTTCTCATAGCTACTGTTGCACTCAAAGGGCGCGCATACACCGCAAACACATGTTTTGCGCCGTCTGTGCGGTTCTGTGGTTGCAAATGCCCCGTGTTTTCTCTTTCCTGACGATGCCAAATATATATATATTGCATGTAGAATAAAAGAAATAAAACCAACGACAAGAACAACTGTCCAACTCAGTTCACCAGTGCATCAAAACGGGGCATGTTAAGACACACCCCGAGGGTGTGTCTTAACATGCCCCTTTTTTCTGCAGTTTGCTTTGCTTTGCCCAAAGAGGTGATTTGGCGTGCTATGAGTGGCTCCTACGTTTTAATTTTTGAGTTTAAGAAAAGCAAGGGCGTAAGAAGCATACGGTGTTTGTTAAGAATTTAAAAGTATTCCTGGCAAAACCGGGCAAGAAAACCAGCCTGTTAAGACACACCCTCACACCCTAACACGTCACATTTTGTAATATTCTTCCATGCTCAAGTTTTTTGCGTAGCTCTATCGGACCGTTAGTCCTCATATGAGGACAAAAGTTCTTTATTTTTTCTAGACAACCCAACTCACGATTTCATTTCTGTTTTTTTTGTAACCAGAAGGCTATCACTACAGGTAAAGCACGTGGTTTTCGATTTTAGCGAAAACCAACTCATTGGTACACATAGAGGTTGTTCAAAAGAACAAGTCGGCTTACAACTAGCATTTCTCTTAAAGCAAATTTTATACCAGTAACATGGAAACATGGCCTTGAGTAGTTTCTATTCGGTTCCAACTTCAGAAAAAATTAAAAAGAGTCAACCTACCAAAGAAAAATAGAAACCGTGGACATCAAAGTTGAAATGAAATAAATATTTCAGATTTGTATGTTATGATAAACGCATGGTCGGATAGACACTACGAGCCGAAGGCTACGTATGGGACCCATTCCCCGGGGCGGTCAGTGAAATTGGGAATGAAGACCAGCACCCTAAACAATAGATGGAAAAGTATTTCGCTTGGATAATCAGCGGGCGCAGCGTTTTTTCTTAAGGATACCGAAGTCATTTATCAGTTAATCTAGTCTGATACATCATGCAAATTTTGCATCAATGAAGGCCCTCGCCTTCCCTCCTTCTTCCCCTCCTGCCTTCTCTACCAGACTGCTGGTCCATTCGGAAGCAAATTTACGAAAAAGTTGCTCCCCTCAAAGAATAGCGAAGCGACCCTTGTCGTGAGTATGTTGATAAAGTAGAGGAACTTGATCGGCGCAAGAAGCGCAACAGCTATTGAAGGGTCCACGGCTTCTGTATACGTAGAAGCCACAATTCCGTTCACCACGATGCTTCCGTCGAATGTCTGCGGGTTGTGCAGGCCTCTCAGCACAACCATTTGAAGGAAAACGATATTATCGACCTGACCATTACCGAGCTTCAACAAGTCGCCAGTCCGAAGAGACTTTGCCGGTCGCATTTGGCCATTGCATGAAATATAGTGGCCAGGACTTAATTCAAGTGTGACGTTCGACCTGGTCTTGACTTGCACAAATCCTGACATCACCTCGTCAGTGTGATGCGTAAACAAGAAGACGTCAGAGAAGACGCCCGGCCCGGTTTGAACTTTGTCGCCAATGCGAACATCCGAAATTGAAACCACGTTGCCTGACGATAAAACAACCTTTGCTCTGCTAGGGAAGCAAACTGCATTCGAATCATTTGTGGAGGTAGCCGATATTGAAGGTGATGCGCTGGGAGATGCTGCTGATCCTGATGGGTTTGAAGCTGGGGTCGTTGCGGGGCTCTCAGAAGCATTCGCTCCAGTAGGAGATGGTGGAGAAGCCCCCGGAGAAACCTCTGGTGTCTTTGTAGGTCCTGGGTTAGATACGCTGGAAACAAAAGGGGAAGCGGAAGGCGATGCGGAAGGTGAAGCCGAAGGTGAAGCCGAAATTGATACACTAGAGACTGGTTTGCCGGTCGCTAAAGGACTAGTGGATGGATCATCGGTGAGCGGCGCCACAGGAAAGCATTCCGGCAGGTCCACTGGATTGCTGAGCTCAAATAAGTTGGCAGGGAGATTGGCATCTCTCCCTGGGGTGGGACTAGGGGTAGGAGTGGAAAATGGTTCTTGTCCAGGGCCTAGATTTCGTGACTGCTTGTACAAACACAAACTCTCGTCCTCTTTCACAGATACCATGCCAATCTCCGAGGCGCCCAAGTACGCAAAGCCAAAATTTAGATCCTGTCCGCCAGCTGGTGGCGTTAGGAAAAAGAATATGGTGTTTTTCGCGAAAGCGAGTTTGCCGCCGCAGTATCGATCTGAGGTGTACTCAAAACCAACATGAATAGGGTCCAGTCCTCGCAAAACGTTGAAGGCGTTAATCGCCCTCGCATTGGAGCTCAGAATTCCATAGAGTGGTGCAAGACCATTTATGACAGCCGTTCTGGGATCGCTTAATTGCTCCCCCGCCACAATGATCATGTATTCAGTTGAGTTGCTATCCGCCTCTCCTGTGCCGCATTTTTCTCCATCATGGTGAATAGCGGAATGAGGAATAATATACATCCTCTTTGGTGTCTTGGTACATTGCCTAATGATTCGATGCCAGATTGAGCTGCCTGCGCACTGCTTTGGGGTTAAAGCCTCGGCAGCTTTGTAAAAATTCAACCCCTCGATGGTCCTGGGTACGAAGAGCCGAGAGACTGTGTCCATGGAAGCATCCTGATCAAAATCAATCGGTCCCAATATACTGCATGTAGCGATTGAAGCTATAGTGAACGCCAAAAGAACTACCAGCAAGCATGTTCTCTTCATGATTCCTTGTTGGATCTTTTCGAGGCGACCGAGAGGTAGAGCCCACTCGCTATGGTAAAAAGTTTAAATGCCGGGAAGGATAAATCCCAGTTGTGAGACTGCGAGACATACACATGAAGTGGTTGCTTCAAAAACGAGATAAAAACAGAAGCTACAAGGAACTCTGCACCTTTACTGACAGAGTTATATGCTTTCAATATCAATAAAGTATTTTAAATCTCAAATACAACGGATCCCATTGCGGATCAACCGACAGAAGGGCTACCAATACTACTTTTATCTCTCATCGCGTTGACTCCATCAATTCAAAGATTCCAAATATTTGTTTTCATGAAATATGGATAGGTTGGGCGTTTCGCAACGTGTCGACGAACAGGTAGGCCAATACCTATTGCCTGTATAAAACAACACAATCTACATATCCGTTTGTGAGGGGATTATGTTCTCGTTCCCCAACAGAACAGTCAGCTCTCTGTGCGGTGAGAAAGATTCGCACGCTTTTTATTCGTGATTCAGTCAACACGCGATGACCGCAATGCGTGTATATTATTAAGTTTATACCAAGACCTTCTCGACGTAACAACATTGTTTTTCATATCATGGAGTTAAGCGCAGTACCCGAATATCCCTCGTGATGTATCCTTTTGTGAACAGTCGAAAATAGCGTAGCACCTGTGTTGGTTGCGTTTGAAAAAGAGTTTCAAACAACTATGAATCGAACCGGTGGCTCGTTCTAACACGTCCAGAAAAGCTACTGGGGAATTTCCTGACATCTGTGCCTTGCGGCATGGCCTGCCTGTTCACGCCAAGGAAGAGATTCGAGGCTCTAAGCTACACTGTTAACAGGATTTAGTGTGGTGGTTAAATTAGTGTCGCCCGGGAATTAGTATGCTATCATAAATATTGTGCGGCGACTTTCACGGCCTTGAAGCCTGATAATTTGCCGTTAGGAAACTCCCAACGGTCTGAAAGAAAATTTCCAAAATGGCAGTAATGTAGGCTGTACTGTACTACAGTAGGGTAACTACGTACAGTACCCTTCCTGGCCGGGGCAATTTGGGAATTTTTTTGGCAGAGCCCCAGAAGTTTTGAATGGCACTATCCCGAGCAGCCAAAAAGTGTCCGCTACAGCCAGTCGGGTGTCCATGTGCCATCCACCACGAAAAGACGCTGGCAAAAACATCCTGTTGGAAGCCATTCGACATTTTCTGATACGTGCCAAAAGGGCTCAAATGGCAAAAAGGGGCAATTTGGTGATTTTAGTTATGTACCGGAAAGCGATAACAAAGATTCCACAACTTCCTCTTCACCCCTCATATCCTTACTGAACGCTTGCCTCGAGAGTGTACTATTCATTGCCGCTCCGAATCTCGCCCCAGAAGCAGAAGAAAAACGTTCAGGCTATGGGGGAGACAACGGGGGATTTTGGTTCAGCTGCTGACTTTGTACGGCGACTCTCCTTCGAGAATCGCATCTGGGCTCGACTGCGGTCCCGCTTTTCCTTCTTCTCAGCTTTTAGATGCTCCTCAGCAGCAAGTTTTACGTCTCTCTCTTCTGATTTCGATTATATCCTCCAAAGTCAAGTACAGAGCAGGAGTACCTTTTTGTAACTACACACTTTTCTCGCGACAGGCGTTCGAACTTTTTATGTTCGAGAAACGCGTGCATGTCATAAAGATTTTATTCATACTTCTGCTTTTGCGCAAAAGCATTTCCACATCCCTGATTCTCGTTGTGGGGTCTTTGGCAGCCTCCAAAGTTTTTTTGAGCTGACGAAAAGTCCGGTTGTCGGGGTTCCGAGTTCCATTTGTGACATTTAGGGAAGCGACTTTGCCACTTTTTGGGTCACATGTGACCGCATCTGGTGCTGGTCTCTTAAACCTGTTTAGAAAAGAGTAGTCCATGGGCCATAACACCCCCTTTTCGAAGCTTAACTTAATCTTATCCACCGTGATTTCACTGTAAGCCAATATCGCCACCATCAGATTTGCACGCACACTTCGCATGTCGAGCGTTGTTTGTTTATGAAGCAGGTCCCGGTGTTTGTGCATCCCTTTTTGAATGCACTGTTTATGTCATGGTCGCAGGGTTGCAAGAAGTGAGTCTTGTTTGAGGGAGACTGAACGACTTCGCACTTTTTTTTGCTTGCACAACTCGAGCCACTCGAAACTTTCTCGTTAGGAGTGACAGTCAAGAGTCACAAAGTTGAAAAGCTCCACGGGTAGGGTCTTCCTCACAACTGTATCCACATGCTCTATCACAAAGGAAATGAATCTCTTTTCCATACCCCTGTCTGTTGTCATTATTACGATTCCCTTCTCAAACCACATTTTTTGATACAATCTACTATTTTTCACGGAAGGGCATATTATTTAGTTCTGTTTGAGCATAGAGACCGATCCGCTTATTACATTCTTTCCTTCTAAAATGAAAAAGGGAGGAATTTTGAGACCAGATGCCGAGGCGGCAACCACAATCATTATATGCTTGTTGTTTTTTCTAGCTTGAAAAGCCAAATACCTACCGTGATCGGTGCGTGAGGACCCAAATACTTTAGTTCTTACCCCATATTGACAGTCCACAGCTATTTCGTCGAGGTTCCAAAGGCGGGAGGGGTCGTTCAATATACCAGGATTAGCATGTTGCACTTTCTTCAATGCATCTGAAAAGGTTGACACATGAGTGAAATTTTCAGCGGCCAACTTTGCGACGTCTTTGTTTTCACTTTTTCGATAACTGACGTCTCTATTCACGGCACGCCAATGGCGGATGCTGTCTTGAGACGGACTGCCAGATTCTGTGGGAAATCATGCTCGTCCGTCAGAAGCTATCTGAGTCATTATATTCCTCACATCACCGTTTGAGAGTGCAAACCCCTTTTCTGCCGCGTATGCAATCCTTTTCTTTATCAAAGTTGACTCTTGTTGAGTAAGAACTGTTCGGTGTCCTGTGCAATGGGCTTCTAGCGATAGAAGGGCGTTGAGTTTGGATTCATCACGCTCTTCGAGGTGGTGATAAATCCGATCTACTGTTGTGGGAAGTACATTTGTCGCTTTCACGACAGAAGACAGTTTAGTACGACGAAGGAGCGCGGTGGCTATTTCCCGCTGCTTTTTCATGAATGGCTCGCGTTCCTGCGTCCTTTCTTCGATTGCACTCTGCATGCGCATGGAGAGTCCCATGACGCACGAGTACTTGTGGTCAAAGTCATGATGTCAGTGCTGTAGAAGACAGTTTTACGATCGTTGGGACGCCGTGGGGCTGCAGGAGTTTGAGTTTTGGCGGACTTCTGCATGGCAGGGGAACGAGGGAGGACGAAGGAACTTGTACGACTATCGCTAACATGGCGACGGCGTGTTCTTGAGAATCTGGAAGTGTAATACTAAAAATTCCCAAATTGCCCCGGTCAGGAAGGGTACCTTGTCATATACAACCTCCGGGCTGTAATGTATACAGTACGTCATCGGCGTGTAATGCCTACGTGTACTGTAGTTCGTCCGTCCGTAAGGCACACGTGTAGTCCATCCGCGTGTAAGGCACACGTGTAGTCGCGCGCCTGTAATGAACCCGCGGCGGCGGGTGCTGTACAAATTACAAATCTTGGCTGTGATACCACAGTGCTCCCGACGAGCACCTATCAAGCTATCTAATCAGCTTTACAGTGTAACAGCTGTGAGGCGAGGTTTTTGCCACACTCACCGCGTGCCAAGGTGTTTATCATAGCGGTCCCTATAGTCGGACCCGACTTTGCCCCTTGCGGGCCCAGCTGGTATTGCACAGGTAGGGATCCCTCACACTGAGGAAGCTCCGTTATGGGCTCCCCGCCCAATCTGATTGATGCCCTGGCAGGGCGCGCCGCCCTGAGCCGCCGACCCTTCGGCACCTTACCGCTTCTGCCCTGGGCCGCACAATCTTCGCCACCGCACAATCTTCGCCACCGCACAACCTTCGACACCTCACCGCTTCTCACTTCTCCTCTTCCCTATTACAGTACTCCATTTTCAAAACAAGACGTCAGAGCAAAACAAATACACGATATGATATCCGAACGCAGGCTTCTCACATGGGTCAGTGGAAACCGAGATGGAGGAATAAGGTCAAATCTGACCTATATAATCGTGTTGTCGAACATGATGAAAATCGCCCCTTACCTCCAGAATGGGTATAACGACGTGATCGGAATGATCATGGCGCCTTCCACGCGGTGGTACCAGAAGGTCGTCCTAGTGATATTGATTACAGTAATTGTGATGCCGCTGGGCGTAACATTTTTAACATGGCTACTCGTCTTTCAATTCGTGAACGCGCTAGAGAGTATGGCAGCTGACATAGCTGGAATAATATTATCGATAGGTACGTGTGGCCTTGTGATGTACTGGCGCCAGCGCTGGTGCTACCAAGTACTCATACAGGCACTTGAGGCCACTTTTCGCACGCAGTTATGTCACAGGAACACGACAATAGCTGTGGTCCAAAAGAGGCAATGCACAGATGACTGCATACAAGGAGAGTGCGTAGAAGGAAAATGTTTCAACGTTTTTGACGACTTTCTGTATATATCCATCGAGACCAGCTGTAAGTGTTTCAACGAGCATGTGAATCGGCGGTTAAGACTTGCTAAGGACGACCCTTCTTCAGATGAGGTTTTAGTCAGAGGAAACCTATTTACAGAGAAGAAAATTTGGCTGTCGAGAGCGCAGTTAGCTCATGGAGATTACAAGAATTGTGGGACTTATAATCTAGACTATATAAGGACTCACTATGATATGGAACGCCTTATGTGGATAGAATCGAAGATCTCGACAGTGTACGGGCCTCGCGCATGCATTGTGGTGAGGAAACGCGCAAACTTGGAAGAGATAGTACTGCTGCCTATCAGCAATGCGGAACTAGACAAGATGTCAAACACAGACAACTCCTTGGTCCTTTTCAGAGATCAAATGAGAGGACAAGAACTCGGTGTCTTACACATGGATTCTACTATGACCTTCAAAGTAGTTGTACAATTAGTAGCCATAATAGTTGCGATATGGGCTATCGTGGGAGAAGAAGAACAAGGAAAGATAGCTGCATCAGTCATACTAATGACATTGATGATAACAGTAGCCAACAGATTACCCGAGGACATAAAACTCGCGGACTTACACTGGTTGGGGAAAGATGCGAAGAGAAACCTAAATATTGCAATGGTTTCGGTCGGGATAGGGCGACAGACATTTGGAGATCAAGGGACACGTTGGTCTCGCCACTCATACCACGGCAAGGAGGAGGTCGGCACTATTGACAGGGTTGAAAACTTATTCCTCAATAGATCTGTGGTAATACGGGATAGGATGCTGTGCTTCTCAAGGCGCGGTCTATTCGTACCCATTTCAGAATTCCAAATAAGAGATGGAGTTGCGTACATCACCCGTTGGGAAGAGTGTAGCCCTCGAACGGCTGGCAATTGGATACCGGCGTTAGGCCAGGCGAATGACTACAGTAGTATAGGAACTTGACGAGCGTACATAGCTGAGAAGTGGTCCCTAAAAAGTAGAAGGAATTACTCGAAGATATCGGTATTAGAAAAGATACTGAGGAAAGGAATCAAAGCAGAAGAAAAAAAGAGAAAAGAGGGAAGAAGGGGGCCAACAAGTAACTAACAGCAACACCCACAAAGACAGGCTGACAAGGTGTATCAGTTCGGTATATTGCCTGAGAGCCTTGTGGAATTATAATTTTTTGCCACGAAGTTGTATCCAGCGGTGGGCTTCTGCAAGAGTGGCCAGAAAGGGCATCTTCATCAATCAATAGAACATCATGTTCTATTGAAGATGCCGTTCCTGGCACAGCCATATACCTTATATCTCAGGTACATGATGTACCTGAGGGCGTGTCTTAACAGGCTGGTTTTTGCTTTGCCTTGCCCGGTTTTGCCAGGAATACTTTTAAATTCTTAACAAATACCGTATGCTTCTTAAGCCGTTGCTTTTCTTAAACACATAAATTAAAACGTAGGAGCCACTCATAGCACGCCAAGTCACTTCTTTGGGCAAGGCAAAGCAAACCGCAGCAAAACGGGGCATGTTAAGACACACCCTGAGATATGATGTATATGGCTGGATATCTTCATCGCCTCGGCCAGTACTGTAGCCCTCCTTATTGATATCATCCATCACATAGAATACTCCTGAATGATGCCGCAATGGGCTCGGGATAACCCCTCATATATCGAAGAGATATACGAGGAAGCCATCTCGTAGTTCCTCCGCTTCCACCCTGCAAAGAAAGGATTTCTCTTCTTCTATCGCGATACCGATGAGAAACCGCATGACATTGTTAACTTCGTTACGTCGTACTCTAGAATGTTTTCTCTTTCGAGATGCCGTGCACATCCTTGAATAATCGTCCCACTTTTGGGTGCGCAAATTCCATAGTTTCAAACAGAAGCGCCATTCATTCAAGAAGGTAAAACCCCTTGCTAACACATGTCAAATGATTGCCTTTCGACTTTTCTTTTCCAGGAATCTTACATGGTCCAGCCTGGTCTTTGCAACGTGTCTTGAAGAATAATTACTTCAACATATAAACCTCTAATTTTTATGAACACAGTACTTCACTCGGACATAAAAAAAATTGACGAACAAACAAGAAAGTCGTTCTTGAGGGGGCGTGTCCGTCCAGGAAGGTATCTCGATCTCAGACCTTGTGAACTATTAACGCGAAATCTCTTACTATAAAGCAGACGTGTTTCAAAATGTCTCTTTACTTCATAAGAATATCATTTTTCTGCTTTTGAGCTGTATGGAGCTGCAGAAACGTGCACCAAAACTATTTTGTGTCCTTCGAGCAGGATTTTTGCGTTTTGATTCATCAAAGAGAAGAAGGTGGTGACGAAGTGCTGTTTGAAACCTATATACTGGATCTCGTTTTCTTTTTTTATGCAGTGAAACGGTGTAAAGGAGGAATGGAAAAGCCCGTACAAAAGTCACACTCGCTTGATATTGATGGAGGTAGTACGAGCGGATGGTCGAAGTTGGAAAAAATGAGGAACGTTGAAATGATCAGATATCCGAAGTTTGACTATATCAACTTGTAGATCAATAGAAGATGGAAGCCACTTACACCTTAGGCTATAGCTTTGAATTCTTGTCCGGGACAGATCGAAGAAAATGATATGGAAGCTTCCAGCTTGATTTCATGGAACATATTGGAAGACTAACTTCAAAGCCCTTCGTGTTTATTGCAGCGCTATTCCGCATGTCTTTCCCTAAGAGCGCGAAAATACCATGGCATGTCTTTTCACCTGACCTTGCTTGTCGAAAGCTCGGGCGACTCTTTTTACCTCGCACTTCCTGCTAAATGATGATGAAAATCGGGTTGCAGGTACACTAATGGCACTCATTGAGTGCATGCAAAACGTTAATTTGTACAAACTGGATGCACTTGAACAATTGGAATCCGACTTCCATCTTTAGAGCTGTAACAGTTTTTCAGTCAGATGCTACAAACTTTCAGCTCGGGTGAGCATTCGACCGATGTATTCTTCATAAAACCTGAGTATCACCTCACGCTCTAATACCAAACTACTCAACCTTCTTGACGCGCTCATGAGAGTGGCGTATGAATATGCAGAGATGCAAAGACGCTGCTTGCCTCAAAGACCAATTGAAGGGGTCATTGCTGTGACGGTGAATAGTTTTTCATTAATAATTAGCGTATTGGGGTTGTGGCCTCACAATCTTGTTTGTGCTCAGACTACGGTAGGCCAGGTCGTGGATGTGCCGTGACGAGGTCTGAGAGGCGTTTTCCCCGCCTTCCTCCCCTACGTCATGAAGGTCGCTCCTCATCTCAAACAAGCCTGTCTCGGCGGCTCTTTCCTTTCGGCGGCGGCGAAGTTTCACTTTTTGACGGAAGCGACCTATCGCAATTGTGGCGGTGAGGGCCTTCGAAAAAGGGGAGAGAATGCGGTTCACGTTTGAAGCAGACCACTTCTCTCGGCGCAGACGGCACCTTCCACGTCAGAACAGCGCTATTGCGTTTGCCATTCTATCACCGAGTTCATTCCTTTCAACGTCCCGTGACTCAGCTTTTAGATGCGCGACAAAACACCCACGCCAAGTGAAGCGACGTCGAACAATTCGGGTGCCTATTGACGCCAACCTACACCATGACGGAGCCGACGAACCTCCCTACCGATGGCGCCCGCAATCTCGACCAGGGCAGCTGCTCTCAACAGTGCTTTCTGGATTCGAACCTAGTCCCGAACTCGCCGCTATTTTATCTGTCTACTTCGTGCAAGGGGCCCTTGGCATCTCCCGTCTCGCCGTTGCCTTCTTCCTGAAGGACAACCTCGGCTTATCCCCCGCGGAATGCGCCGCCCTCACGGGTGCCGCCATGTTTCCCTGGCTCGTCAAGCCCCTGTATGGCTTCATCAGCGACTCGCTTCCGCTTTTCGGATACCGCCGTCGCTCGTATCTGGTAGGGGCTGGCGCCATCGGCGTCCTCGGATGGCTCTCTCTCGCCACTGTAGTCGATTCGGCTGCTGCGGCGCTTATTGCTTGCGTCACAACATCTTTCTCCGTAGCAATATCGGATGTCGTCGTTGATTCGATCGTCGTGCAACGCGTGCGCAGCTTACCTGCGGAGAGGTCCGGTGCCTTGCAATCGCTGTGTTGGGGAACCTCAGCAGTTGGAGGTTTGTTATCTGCCTACTTGAGCGGGAGTCTGCTGGAGACAGTTGGCCCCAGGGAGATTTTTGCATTTACCGCTCTGTTACCGCTGTTCACCAGTTGCCTTGCGGGGCTCATTAAGGAGGACCGCATCACGATGGGAAAGGCGTCTGAGGTTGTAGAGAGCATGAAAAGCCGTTCCAAATCTCTGTGGAAGGCACTCTGTGATCCGGCGGTGTACTTACCAGTCGCGTTTATATTTGCATGGCAGGCCACGCCATCCCCCGAGTCTGCGCTGTTTTTCTTTCAAACGGAGAAACTAGCGTTCGGCCCGGAGTTTCTCGGTCGTGTGCGATTCGTGTCGTCCGCGGCTGCATTGCTGGGTTTATGGCTCTATCGAACGTACTTCAGCAAGTTGGATATCAAGACGTTTATGCTGTGGTGCACCTTGATTAGTGTGCCGTTGAGTATGACGCAAGTGATTCTCGTGACCAGAACCAACGTAGCACTGGGCATCTCGGACCAAGTGTTTGCGCTGGCGGACTCGGCCGTGCTAACGGCACTAGGGCAGGTGGCGTTCATGCCGACGTTGGTATTGGCGGCGCGACTTTGCCCTCCAGGTGTGGAGGGCACGCTGTTCGCGGCTCTGATGAGCATTTACAACGCCAGCGGTGTAGCGTCCAGTGAGCTTGGCGCGGTGCTTACGCACGCTCTTGGCGTGACGGAAACAAACTTTGATAGGCTATGGATTTTGGTTGCCATCTGCAGTCTTTCTTACTTGCTGCCATTGCCGCTCTTGGGCCTGTTGGATCAAAAGGAGGAGCAGAAGCTCTCAGACCTTGATGCCCCCGGTGAGGACGTGGTTACTAATACTGCCATTCTCAGGGCTGAGAAGGTCAAGAGCGAAGCGGAGTGATGTATTGTACAACAAGACAGACGATTTGATTAGACGATCACACGTTGGTTCGGTAATCTCGCAGACGACAATCGGAAAACTGTTTATGGACATAGAATGAAAACTAAATAAATACTATACGTTAAACAGTCACCAGGTTGCCGCTAGCACCCCAAGAGGTAACTTTAGATCAAACCCAGAAACCCTTCTCACCACCACTCTGCGCTGAGTCCGGGGGCCATTGACGACCGTTAAACGTCTTCCTCCTCCTCCACCCTGTACGCATCGCTTATACGATTGAAAGTCTTTTTCCAAAATCTCTTGTCCGGCTCATACTCGCCCTTCCCATTCGCCACAGTCAGCACACAATCTGGAAAGTGGAACTCGCCTTCCGGGTCCTCCTCCTTCAACATCTTTACAGCCCTGTCATAAACGAGTGCCTGACAAACGCACTGCGCCAAGTCGACGCGACTAATCTCCTTCCCGGCCTCCGCCGGCGCCTCCCCGGGCTGGACCTCAATCGTATTGCGCCCCCCCTCAGCGTCCTTCAGTGCGGCCGTTCGTACAATCACATACGGCAGCCCACTCGCCCTGACGACCTCCTCTGCGCTGCGCTTCGCCTTCCCGCGGGCGGAAGTGGCGTCGGCAGAGCTGATGAGGACAAAGCGCGAAACTCTGCCCGCCTTTTTCGCGGCCTCGACGAGATTGGCAACGCCCTTGACGTCGACAGCCTGCAAGCCGCCGAGGCGCCACCACGGGGCGCCGGCCGCGCAAACAATAGCAATGGACCCATTGACAGCGTCGTAAACGTCGTCCATGCGCGCGAGGTCGCCTTCGAACACGTCGAGGTTGCTGCCGGACGGCCCGAAGATATCCTCGGCGCGCCGGAACGAGCGCGTGAAGCAGCGGACGTTGAAGCCCTGGTTGCGCAGGCCGAGCGCGATCCACTGCCCCGTGCGCCCCGTGCCGCCCGCCAGAAGCACGGGGTCCGGCTTGAGCAGGTCGCCGTCCGGGAAGGAGTCGACCTCCTCGTCGTCCGGCTCCGGGGCACGCTCGCCGTAGTAGATCGTGCCGCGGCCCATGCGCTTCATCGTCAGGTCGTCGATCGTGTTCTCGAAGGCGGACGCCTTGCGCTTCGGGCGCCGTCGGCGCGGCGGGGATGGCGGGCCATCCGCCGCGCACACGGGCGCGCGCGCCGGCTTGAGGCACGTGCGGGGAAGGGACGGCGCGGCGCCGAAAGGGGAAGGGAGGGGGGAGCCCAGGAAGGCGGGGGCGGCGGAGGGAAGCATGGTGACGGGAGGCGTGCGCGCAAAGGCGGGGGATGCGGGCGAGGGAGGGCGGAGCAGTTGGGGAGGCTGAAGAGCGTGGGAAGTTGAGCTCCCGTTGTAGTCCGAGGAGCACGGAGGAGTGTTTGTGTTCGCAGGAGGCGTGCGAGGAATGCCCGTTCGACTTGTCAGGTTGCGATTGGTTGTACGGTTCTGCGGAGCGCGCGTCTTCTCTTTGAAGCCACGTGTCCACGTGAGCAGTTGTCCCATGACTTAAGCCAACGTCGTTGCTCCACCTCTTCTGTCAACTTCGGTACTCTCTTCGCTTTCAGGGGCAGCCGAGCGCTACGGGTCGCACGCACGCCATGCCCCTCTCGACCATGCACGGCGAGGCGCGACGCGAAGCCGCGCAGCGGCTACGCGACACGGTGGCCTCTCTAGCGCCTTCGGTGCGACACCTGACGTACGCGGAGTTCTGCTCACTGGAGTCGCCAGTGCTGCTAGACGTGCGGTCGTCGGGCGAGATGGCAGCGGGCACGCTGTCAGGCGCAGTGTCGGCGGCAGAAGCGCCGCCGGTTGCGCGGCGGCCCGTCGTGGCTTTCTGCACTGTGGGCTTGCGCTCGGCGGCGTACGCTAGGGCGCGTGAGGGCGTTTACAGTTACTCGGTCATGGAGCACGTGTGGGGCGGGGGGACGCTGCAGCGCCCGGATGGGCAGGAGTGGGGAAGGCGCGTGCATACGTATACGGAGAGGTATCAGGGGGTGTTCCCGGAGTGGGTTAAGGGGGAGAGTTATCAAGGGTGGAGTGTTGTCGCGAATGTGCTCAACGACATACCGGCGCTTGTGGGGATGTTCGCGGCGTGGGGGTGGAGGGGGGTTTCTGGGGGGAGGCAGGAGGGGATTAATGGTGGTTAGTTTAAGTTTGTGGGAACCGCGATATTATGTTGTACAGCCCCTCGCCGTCGCAAGGGAGCGCGCAGTGCAGGAGGTCCTCGGTCTCGTCGATGTCGCGCCGGCAGCAGAGCGCGTCGTTGTGCCGCGCGTCCTCCATCGGATTTGATTTTGGCACTAGCCCTTTCAGATTGAACCGCCGCATGGCGTACGACACCGCACGCCCGAGCCAGCGCGCGCGCTCTGCCGAACAGTAGTTTTGTTGCATCTGTTTTGACCACTCTTCGGATGTATGTGCAGGTGTAGACGTGTCCTGCATCAATTGCACAGGCTTGATCACCTGCGTGAAACTTGACTGCTGCTGCCTCCTTGAGAATACATCTTGGACGATGAGTGCAAACACGTGAACTACTTCTTGTTCGCTTCCGCGCTTCAGTAAGAATGGACGACCAAGCGGTATCAAAGGCCCCACTCGACTCATTCGCCGCATACGACCTGCCACTTCACTCACTACGGATGCAATCGATGCTCCGCTGGTCACATGAGATTCCACCGCCCCCAATGACCCTCTGCAAGAATCACGCCAAGCCAACTCCGAAAGCCCGATGTGCCACATGTCGTCAAATGGCACTATCCACACCTTGTGATGGAGCAAATTGTCCTGATACACGTGCGTCAGCGAGGCACTCGTTGTTGCCACCCTGGTCCAATTTGAGTTGGACACAGTATCAATCCCCGCAAACGTTGGTATTGTCGAGAAATAGTGCAAGCCCTGCTGAGAGAAGAGCAGAAGACCGACTACCAAGAGTAGAATCCCAAACAACAAAGTATCGCGCCATTTGGAGCGCGATAGGATGGATCCAAACATACCTATATTTCCTCGCCTCATTCGCACACCCAAAGCCATCGTTCGGGACAACTTGTTCTGCGAGTTAGGTGTGTCAAGTGCAAGTGAGTAGACAGCGATACATGAACGACGATAAGCAAAAGTTGCCCTGGCTGAAGAGTTTGAAACGTGCGCTACATTGTGGATTCTCACGTGTGGAGGCGATGATAACCGAATAATCCGACAGGCAACGCGGAAAGAGCATTGCCAGAGTTTGACGTGAGAGGAAAAAGGGCCGGGCCGACCATGGCTTCTTTGGCTAGCGACACGACAGCGTATTCTGAAACACGGCCGGGGACCGATGTGGCCCTACGAACTAAGCCTCACGCACTGCGACCCAAATTGATTAAATCCAATCTGCGTGACAGTAGCATTGTTCGTCGGTAACATGAAACAGCATTTCCTCCAGTCATCATCATGGCGACTTGCATCTACCCTTGGGTAAATTGATCCAAGGAAATATCGGTCTCGTTCAGGGTGGTGACCACATTTGGTGCGCAATAAATGATCACAATTCGTCACTTTGAACAACTCCTTGTCGCCGGTTTGGCGACAGAGAAGCCCATCTGACTTATAGAAGCCTGTCTCTCGGTCTGTTTCTCGGTCTGTTTCTCGGCCTGTTTCTCGGCTTGCCTCCACGCCTTCATCCTGCTCCTGCGCCCCGGACATGGCGCCTCGGCAATAGCAGCGCAGTAAGTTATCCATGCGCAGAATATGTCCTGGAACATCACCCCTCTCACGGCGCGTTTCCAGAGCGCCCGATACGTAGGTCAGGCAACTCTTCGGAATGCCTAGCCGGCACAAAAGTCTGCGCCTTCCCTTCGCAAGTATCCATGGGCGTCGTAATGATAGGAAGTTGATACATGAGATGCGTTTTCGTCGCGCGGTACGCAGCAGCGGCGGTACTAGCTTTCACATGGTGTGCATAAATAAAGCTGTCGCAAAACTTGGCCAACTGCTTGGCGTCAGCAGGGGGATCCTGATGCATGTACTTGGTCAAGTAACCCTGCTGCGCATCGATGCGCTTCTGATCATCAAAGATAGTCAAGTTGAGCACCCAGGACCAGTAGCCAAAATTCCAACCGAGTGTGACGTGCTCGTCGTACGGCAAAAGCTTTCCGACCAACTTATCATTGGCCAGCAGCTCGACGATGTCCCTCGAAAACAGCATAAAGTTCTCATCAGCGCGATTGCGCCCCTCTCTACACCAGAAGCGCCCCCAGAACATCTGGGATCGTTGCAGGGCCTTGAGCTCGTACAGCAAGCGATGCAAGCACAAAAAGCTGTCATCGTCTATGCGCAGGAAGAAATCGGCGTCCGGGATATGACGCACAGTCCACGCGGCCTGGAAGCGGGCGCGTTGGGCGTACACGTTGTGGTCGTTGGAGCCATAGCCCGTGGGCAACGGCTGCAAAACAACGTCGTCATAACGGTTGGCCTCGCGCCGCAGGTTGGACCAGTCGACGCTGAATGAGGACGAATCGTCAAAGGCAGAGGGCGGCGTGTCGGAGAAGAAGCGGTAGGAGACTGTGTCGTCGGACGGGAGCCAGCGCAGCCACCCTTCGCGCGCGGCGTCCCTCAGGGCAACATTGCCCGGGGCCGAGCCGATGGCAATGAACAGTGTAGCTGCATTGTGCGGGCCCTGGCGCGAAGTGGAGGATGAGCGGAGATCGGAGTCGGTGGACAAGAAAAAGGTGATGTACAAGAGAACCAGGAAGCAGAGGAAGGCTAGAGTGAATAAGACATAAGTCCTACTCTGGGGATTGCGAATGAGGCGCTTGTATAGGAGACGGATGTTTCGGGCCGTTACACGGGTGCTACGCGGTCGAAGCGAGTGCGGAAGCCCGGGGTCCGCCATCCTGCGCGCATTGTCGACGACGGATCACAGACGTGCCCGTGGGAAGATAACGACGGACCGACATTCCCGAGTTTTACATGTAGGCGCCAGAAGAAAAAACCTTTCTCCATGAAACTGTAAGCCATTCATTCGCTGTACACGTGCTGCTCAGCATCGCATGCCCGTGTCGATCTCCGCGTTTCCCAGACGTCATCGCCCACTCCTCCATCCCCCAGCCCACTCCTCCATCCCCAGCCCACACCACCCTCCGCCTCAATTTGCCTCTCCGAGCCTCACCACGCGGCCCTGCATCCGCCCGTTTTTTGAGCCTCAATCCCACGGCGTCATGCGTCTGGCCTGTTTCGCGACGCTCGCGACGCGCACGCTGCGGTCGCAGGCCGCTTCTTCGCCGGCTTTGGTGTGCGACATTCGGGCGCCGCGCTTTGCGCCACGGCCGTCGACGACGCGCATGTGCGCGACCGGACCGCCCGCAGCGGAAGGTGACTCCGCGATGGCCGCCGTGCAGCGCAAGATCACGGACGCGCTGGCGCCCACGAGGCTGAAGGTCACCCCGACATATGGAGACCCTAATGGCTCGCACGTCAGCATCACCGTCGTTAGCGATCGGTTTGAAGGCCTTTCGCCGGTTAAGAGACATCAAGTCGTCTACAAGACCATCTGGGAGGAGCTTTCGGTACGTGTGCAAGTTTGCCTGCGCGCATTTCATCGGAAGGAAACACGGGCTCTTGCTGACGTATCGTTTTACCGTTCCTCCAATGCACTTCTCGCAGGGTCCCATCCACGCTGTGGACGAGCTGGTCACAAAAACGCCGTCCGAAGACAGCTCCTAGAGCTCTACGCCCGCCCCTCCCTTACTCTTGTGCAATACACCTCATTCACCGGCTCCATCTCACAATACCTCTCGCCAAACGTGCGCCACGCCACGCCAGGCGCCCACCGATCATCCAGCGACACGGAGTTACGCTCATCCCCCTCCCGAAGCACATGCACCAGCCTCCCCAAGTTGCTTGAAAACGTCCCCACAAACACCTTCGCCCCTCTCAATGCCTCCACCTCCGCCAGCAGCTCGACCACACGTCCGTAATTCTCCTTCATGTACCCCCTATTCGTCGCCAACTGGTCGTGCCCACCCCTCCCCTCGGCCCCGCGAATCGCCACCACCTTCCTGCCCGCCAGCAGCTGCCGCAGCCCCCGCACGGACGCCCCGTCATCCGCCGCCACGAACACCGCCATCTCCTCCCCGCTCACCGCGCGCACGGCCGCCGCGTACCGCCACAGCGGCACGTCCGCCACCTCCTTGCTCTTATCCCCCCTCCGCACATGCACGCCGACATACTCCCCCGCCCCCCATACGCTCGCCTCCTCCAACACCACACGTACGGCGGCCGCCGTCGCCTCGTTCAGCCGCCACAGCCTTTTCGCAAGCTCCCTCGATAGCGCCGCGCCACCCGACATGGCTCTCAGTACCGCGGCCGCGCGCTCCTCGGATGTGTCCGTGCTGACCACGACGCACTGATGACCCGCCACTTCCTCGGCGCGGAGCGCGGATAGCTCGGGGCAGGAAGCGCGCACGTTGCATGACGCGGCCCTCGGAGACGGCGTGAAGTAGCACTCCCAAGCGCGGTGCGGCGCGCAGCCGTAGTTCCAGTAGCGCCCGAAGCAGGGGGTGAAGCGCCAACCCAGCAGTGTTGCGACGGCGAGCGCGTCGACGTGGCGAAGGAACTGCGCGCCCAGGCCGTTGAAACGCGTTTCGACGAGGAGGACGACCCCAGGCGGGCCAGTGCGGTTAGTGCGGGTGAGGAGCGTGGCAGCGAAAGAGGCGGGTTTGTGGCCTTGCAGGAGACCGATGGAATGGAAGAGCACCAGGAAGCAGAAGAGCATCAGGAAGGGAAGAGGGCGCACTTGCAGAGAGGGCGCGATCGTTCGGCGATAGAGTCGGGCGAGCACGTGCACGAAACGTGGGCGAGGAATGCGTGTTACAACACGCATCGGATGATGCGAGGTTGGGCTTACGTCATTTGGAGATGAAGAATGATCGCAGAGATCCCGAGTGCTAAAAGCATAGCTCGGGCAGAAAGGCCAGGCAGAAGCAGGAGCACAGGCATCGAGCAGACAGAACATGCAGACAGCAAATGCAGACGGCAAATGCAGAATATGCGACATTGGAATCACGTCGCATCATGCGCCGTGACAGCGGCGCCACGTGGCTCGTCGCCTCACTCAAGTCAAAGTCGCGTCCTCCCTTCCCTTCCCCCACTTCTGCTCCGCCACCTGCCCCAGCCAACTCCCCTTCTCCCGTACCCCTTCCCCCCCTCTCCGTCCCCAATGCCTCCGCCACGGGAAGAACCGCCAGCCCTTCCCCGCAGCCGCAACACGGTCGCCACCAACCTCCCCATCTCGCGCGCGGCCATCGCCAAGCCCCTTGTCCCCCGCCGCTTCCGCCACCCGTCGACGCGGCGCAGAAAAGCTCCCGACCCCGAGCCCCCCGCCTCAGACAGCCTCTTCTCCGCGCTCTCCACGTTATCCGATGCTGCGCTCGCCCTGGAGACGCTGCGCACCGCCTGGCCGCAGGAGGCCGTGATCAAGCTGCCGCGCACACCCCCGATCGCCCTGCTGTCGCAACTCCGCGCGCTGGTGGCGGACTCCAATGCCCTCGACCGGGAGCTCACGCTTGTCGTCGCCCGAAACGATTGGCGCAGGATAGTCCTCCCATCGCGTGAAATCGCCTTCATATGTACTCGCGACGTGGTCGCGAAGATGCGCGACGGGGGGCGCCTGGAGCGCTTTGCGAATGAGGTGCTGCCGGCGGTACGCGACGCCGTGCTGGCAGTGCGACGCCTGCGGGAGGTTTTCGGGGAGGGGAGTGAGGCGGTGGAATGCGAGCTTGTGAGGGGCGGGTGGCTCACCATGAGGGATGAGAGTAGTTTTTGGTTTGCCGTGCCGGGCATGGGCGGGTTTGACGCACAGAGGAGGAAGGGTGCAGCGGAACTCTTGGACCTGTTGCGGAAGACGCCGTTTAAAGAGATGCTTCTGAACAAACTTGAGGGGAGAAGTATGAAGAAGAGCTGCTTTACGGCTCAGTGGCATGTTAGGGATTTAGTGGGAGGGGGACCTCTGGAGACCATTGAGACTTCAGTCGGCACACTGGTGAGATTGAGGTAGGGGACGTGAAAGGGTCGCCACAGGGTACCCGCATGTGAGAACAATCCTATTTACAAGTTGCAACGTCGGTCAATGATGATTTTCTAATGTCATATGTATTACATGAGCCTCTTCTCGTTTCTGTTATACCCGCGCATATCGAATCATTCGCTTTGTTCTTGTTCCTCATCCTTGCCAGAAGCATCCTCAGCATCATCAGCATTCTCGACCTGTCTCGGGGCGTACAAGACGATCTTCATTTTGCCTTCCGCGATGAGGGTCCTTGCATGGTTGTGCAAAAAGTCGAACAACTCCTCCTTGAGCGTAGGAAAGTCGAGGATATTCCTATCCTTATCATCGCGATGGAAGTCAATAACAAGTACAGAGGTATGCTTGAGCGTCATAGCCCCCTCCTCAATCAATCGCTGCACGCGCTTTGCCGTGCCAGCCGCGCTGGGCGCCAGCCCATCCTTACAGCATTTCCTGAGCCACTCTTGTTGCACCTCAATCTTGATATGCTTACTAAACAGCTTACCAACAGGCTTACCATCGTACACCCCTTTCGCAAGGTATACCGCCCGCAGCGCGCTCAATGCCAAAGCGATGCAAGCCACGCCAGGAAGAGCGTTCTGCTTTTTCTTCCACTCACCCTGAGCGATGTAATCATGACCGACAACTTCTTTAACGAGTTGAATGAGTGTTGCATCATCCCTGCTCTCCACCGACACGACATGTTCCTGCGTCCACCTATCGACCTTCTTCTCGACGGAAGTGAGCTTATCCCTCGCCCATTCGAGATATCTTTTCCACAAAAACTGAGCCGGAGATGAGCGGATCATCTCATCGGACTCTTGTCTGTCGCGCTCGTGCATCTCGCGACGTCGTCGCTTTGCGTTTCGCTGGCGTTCTTTGATGGATTCTTTTTTCTCCTTTTTCCGGCCGGTCGCAGCTACGCCTGTCGCATTGCCCAGATTGTCGTCGGGGATGGAATCACCAGTTTCATGCAAATTTGCATCGTAGCGGCTGCGTTTGTTTCTGTTTTTGTTCCAGCGAAAGTCAACGTTGCCTCCACCGGCACCGGCTCCGCGCGGCTTCGACCTATTCTTGCCCCCTCGTCCCGAGCGGAATGAAGCCATCAATTTGCTCGATTTGGTTTCGTGAGGCCCGCAGAGTTGCAATGACGTTGATATCGTACCGACGCACGCCCCAACGTCAATGTACGGTATTGGCACAAATGTACTGTAGGAGGGCATGGATACCACCTCATGTCCGCCGCCGCAAGCGATCTTGTTCGAGTTGCGAATGTCTGACAATCAGACAATCAGAGATTCAGCTGTCCACGTGTCTAGTCTGCTGCCCACGTGTTAATTGAGTAGTTGTCGTGTACACGTTTTTGTAACGTATTCCTGAGAGGCATTTGTCGATGAAGCTACGAGAAGTTGAATTAATTCCATCAAGAACCAGATCGTTGATCCGTTTCTGATTCTGCGATCCTTCAGGGCTGCACTACAATTATGAAATTCCTCTTTAGAATGAAGCGAGACAGTAGGGATTTGGGGAAGAAAAAGATGCCCTATGGAGCTAGAAGTAGACTTGCGAAAGGTCAAGAGCCTGATACTGTTTTCCGCTACAAACAGACACGACTGACAGCGCTGCTAGATCTTTATAGAAGGGAGGTAGATGTCTCCAGAGAGAGAGAGAGAAAAAGGACACCCCGGAATAAAACAAGTTGTTTGTGCCATTGCCGCAACTTTGTCATCGCGCTGCTCTTGTGCGCAACTCCCCTCGTACGGTGACGAGGAGACCGCGCACCAATCCAAGGCCTTATTTGATCGACATTCGCGAATTAAGACAATTGAAGGTAGAAAATGAGCAGCAACGTCCAAGGCGCAAGCCAAGAAGTAGTTGCGAATCATTCTGGAGTACAAAACGCGCAAAGGACCAATCAACTCACAGATGGAAGCACACGACTCTAGCGCGGACTTCAGCTTTCCAACGGTAGGCAGGCTGGACCTCGCAATCCTTTTGTTGGATATGAAGGGCAGTTTCTGCTCACTGGACTGGAACTAAAGGAAACTATCACGGAAGAGCTCACGCCAACCGAGTTAGCACACCCTGATGTAGTAATCAACCCAGAGATGTACAAGCGCCTGCGTCTCTTTTTGGAATACCGTGGCATATCATGTGATGCAACAGGAGGCTCTGGCAGATTGATCCCACGTCGCTTCATCTGCGCACTATTCGAAAGCGGCCATGAACAAGAGTTTATGAAGGCCCCATCTCGCTATGACGCTGTCAAAAGGGAATATGATGTAATTATTACTACATCTTCTTCCCCACGCTACAGTGACAGAAATCCAACTCTTTTCGCAGCAGATTATCAAACCTCGCCGCGAGACTTACAGTTTGGCGAGACTGCTAAAGGAAAAATATCAAATGTCTTCGCTGCCAACTTTCGAACTAACTCGAATAAGTTCACGGATGCACTTGAAGAGTGTGGGATAACTCCTCTCCGCCCTGGGTTGGGTTAGAGGCGGAGGCTATAGCGAGGGAGCACGCGGCGTGGACGCGACGCGCTAATTGAACCGATCAGACGAGCTCGCGAAAAGGGAGTGGCTCACTGGCCGGTTACGCGCAGTCGCCCCGTGGTGCGTGAACGGGAGCGACCGGTAACGGGTTAGAAGCCAGCGCGCGCGATGGAGAGCCGAAACGGACGTATATAGGCGCGGAAGGGACGGGGGCGAGCTTGCCCCAGTTTACCGGTAGGGACGGGTGTCAGGTCTTAACCCCTCAGAGGGACGCCTCGGACACCTGTCCCAGTACAGTAGTACAGTACCTGCCGCCTAGTGTGTGCCGGGTACTGTACACAATTTAAAAAGCTGGAGCCATAATTACTACTACCGCACGGACGCTGCTACTACACGTGTGCATTACTGTACACGCGTGTTGCTTACAGACTACCGCACGGACGACACGTGTGCTAACGCGCACACGTAACACGCGTAGACTACCGCACGGACGACACGTGTGCTACTGTACACGTGCGCCACGCCACGGCCAGTTGGTCAACGCGCGCGCTCCCTACACGTGGGCACACCCGCCCACGTGTGCACCGTGCACGGCCGCACGGTTAATAACCTCCCCGCGCGCGCGACGGTCGTTATACTAGGTCTTTCTCGCAAAGATTGGGAAACTACGCAATGACGGGTGAGGTGTATATTGTTTGATTGGCATCAGATGGGACTAACGCTTACAATGCGGGACTGAGAATTTGGCAATTAATTAGCACAATTTGTAGCCATTTATTTTTCGGGTTGGAAGTGATTCTTTACAGAACTATTCAATGGCACTGTAGTCATTGCCTCATATATCAGCATCGGGGTTGCGATCTGGCATTCCAGCTCTGTGCAACTGCAGGGACATGCGCCTCGCACGCTTCCGACGATAGCGCTCCTGGGACTGCCGTCGGCGCTCTACTTGTTCCACACCGATGTGCAGCTGGCGATTTTTCACACGCTGATATCGATCCAGGTCTTCCTGCCGAAGTGGATGCCAAGTAATGTGCAAATTAGTCAGCGCAGCACATAGCTGAAAAATAGTATCGTAGCTGCTCTCAGACCACTTCCATTTGCTGGAGACAACTGCCCATAGACCACACGCCCTACTGAACCAGTTCTCTACAATTATCCTGTCTGACGAGATTTTCCTGTTAAACCGCTCGTCATCGACCGACAGACAGGCATTCTGCGGTTTCTTTTTTGGGCTGGCTAAGCGAACAATCTCTGCTCCGCCCTGGTACCCCTTGTCGGCCAAAATCGCCCATTGCCTTGGATACTCACCTGCCAACAATCCAAGATCTGTTACATGTCTGTCACTTCTCGCCTTCCTCACATTCACGTCATGAAAAGCCCTGTTTTCTTTAAACATTTCAAGGTCTGACACTGACCCGGGCACATGCTCTGAACAGCCGATAGCTAAACCATTTGGGAGAACTGAAACCTCCACCTTGTAGCCGTAGAGCTTATGTTTTCCGGAGAAAAACTTTTTTCCCTCCTGCATGTTGCCACTAGGCCGGTTGCACATCTGAAAAGTGACATCTACAGCGTAGCGAGCGAACGAAAAGTGCTTGAAAGTAGACTTTTCTTTCAGCATTTCAGTCATGGAGTACAGCTCCCCATTTTGAGCGACAAATGTATCATACAGGTGCGTAGAAAGCGTGTTCACGAAGCGCATTATGAGTCTTTCGAAGGTGGGACCCTTCAGGGAAAAGAGATTTGCAGCAAATCCCACTGCCCGCCGTGTTTTAGGGTAGTGAGCGTCATAAACAAGACGTCCTTTGCCGAATGCGGTGACTTGCGCCCTCGACCACAATTGTAGTGGGTTGTGATAAAATCTCTGTAGTTTGCCCAAATGATTGTGAACTCCTCTGGATCAAAATTGATCATGCTGACAATTGCTCGCCCTCCGCCGCGCTCGTAGAACCGATCAAAGATCGGGCTGTCAGAGTCGCTTTTTTCATCTGAATCGGAGACGTCAGGCTGAACTGAGAATTTCTCAAGCTCGTTCTGACGCTCCACTGCAGCGTCAGCAAGAATTTGCAGAGCGTTGGCGGCGTCAGCTGAGGAATAATTCTGCATGTCGGTGTGCCGGAGTCAAGAGAGCAGAGGCCAGAACAGATCAGAGGGGCAGGAGGGGGACAGAGGAGCGGGTCGGCGTTGCAGGGGGGATGGGGAAGCAGATCGTGGGAGCGAGAGGGGGGTGGAGGAGCGGATCGGAGGGGCAGATGACAGATGGAGGAGCATGTGGGAGGGGCAGGTTTGGGGATTGTGGAGTGGATTGGGGGGCCGGGGGGTGTGGCGGCTCCGATACGGGCGAAGGGGATGTGTTATTGTCGAAAGACTTGGGCATTTGACAAAAGCCTCGGTCAGGGAATGGGGTGGCCTGAGGCTGCTCAATCGGAATAAGCTCATGAAGCTACCACGTAATTGTGGTCGTGCTGCCCCTTGCTGTAGAATAGCTGCGTACTGAATTATGGCACTGTAAATATGTACTGTTGGAAACGTATCCAATTGTGGATGTATTTTATTGATGATGATTGATTCTTACGGCTCATACCCCATAACTACGTGGAAGGCCTACTACAGACCCCCTTCCTTAGCTTTCGCTACGTCCCCGAAGCGACCACTTCTCCGACCAGCGGCTCCTTTGCGGTCTCTCTCTTTTCCTCCGCGCGCGATGGGAAGACCGAAGCGCGTGCGTGCGGGCGGGCTTTTCTCCCGCCTCGACTCCGAGCTGGCGGTCGATACGCCAGCTGTCCCGTCCGAATCGGTAAGCGCGTCGTCCAATTTCCCTCCTGCGAGACGCTCCGAAACCCCTGACTCCCTCCTAACACTCCCCCGAAATTCCCAACTCCTCCACCCGCGACGACTTTTCCGTACAGTACCTCCTCCGGAGACCGAGAACGGACGGTCACGACGAAGTCAGCGCCGCGCGCCCATACGGTCCGCTTTCGAGCCCTGGTCGGGCTCCGGCGTCGAGCCGATCGGCCCATGCGGTACACCCGTGGCGACGCCAACACGGCGAGGCTCCGCGGGCCACCGAGTTGGCCGAACCCGCGCTCGCGCGGTTTAATTCGTCCGATGCGGTGCGCGTGCCCACGGCGTACAGTGCGCGACCCAAAGTCCTCGCCGCCGTCCCCCGCCGGGCTGGACGGGGGCCGACACTGTCGCCCGGGCGGTTCTTCACCGCCGCAGCGCACCAGCTCGCTTGGACAACAGCGCGCGCAAGTTCCGTACGGTCGGTTTGGGATGAGAATCCCCGTCTTCGCACTCCTGCCCCGAAGGGCTGGCCAATTTTCATAAATCCGCCCTTGTTTTCCGTCCTTTGCGGCCGAAGTCGGCCACAGAAGGGCACCGATACGTGCGCCAGAACTTCCCTCGTGCGCTGGCAGCGATTCGCGCGCATCAACCGATCGGAATGTCCCTTTTCTGCGACCTGTCTCCCAAAGCGTCATTTGGAAACTAAAAGAAACCAAAAGAAACCGAAAGAAACGGGAAGAAACCGATTTGGTTTCCAAATATGTCCGAATGCGGTTTTCCCGAGGCGACACTACCGGACGCGGAATGCTCCCAGTAGTGCGATGCCGTTGTCAGAAACGGGCTACGATTTTTTCCCGCAGCGTGGGAGGGAAAAACATAGCCCAAATCGCGACTAAATTAAAAAGCCGGCGAACGCGATACATTTCAATACGAAG